GCTACATCCCAGCTCTTAGAATAGCACTTGACAGGGCACGGTCACCCAGTCAAAATGCACTGAATTAATTAATAGGGAGAAATGAGAAGTTCTGTAAAGGGAAGGAGGGAGAGGTAAGAGTGGATTAGGAGTCAGGAGTTATACAGTGGAGGGTGGTTTAGCCAGAAAACGTAACAGGAAAAATGAATTATCAGAATGGCAGCCAGGTGTGATGGCTCACGCCTGTAATTCCAGCACTTTCAGAGGCTGAGGCAGGTAGACTGCTTGAGCTCAGGAGTTCAAGACCAGCCTGAGCAAGAGCAAGACCCCGTCCCTACTAAAAACAGAAAAACTAGCCAGGCATTGTGGTGGGCACCTATAGTCCCAGCTACTCAGGAGGTTCAGGGGAGAGACACCTGGCAATTGGAGGGGGCGTCAGGAGGGCATTCCAGGAAGTGGGAAAAACACAGGCAAGGAATGAAAAGGAAGTTCCAAGTGGAAAATAACTCCCGGATACATCTATTTAGCATTTAATTATAAAATATTTTAAACCATATGATACTCTACATTTATCATCTGGGTTTCCTTTGGGAGTCTACGGACATCTAACAATTCCCTATTTTAGGAGTTTCTCACACTTAGTAGCAACTGACTCCCTGACGTTTTCCTGGAAAACTCTGGATTTCTGAATCCAGAAGAAGGCTAAACTGAGCAGCAGGGTACGGGCGGAGCTGACTACTATTTGGCAGCTTCTCAGTAAGAAGATTAAAATTGGTTCCTAGAGAGATGGCTGGACTGTCAGGAGAGCCAGGGCTGGTTCTAGCTTTGAGGATAACTCACTGCCTGTATGCCCTGAGGCAAATCACTTTGCCTTTGTGAGTTTCCTTTTAAATAGGGAGAAAAATGAGAGATTTGGGCTACATATAGTAAAACCTCCAGAGCTGACCACCTCCATCCACTGACCACCTTCACAAGTTGATCTAATTTTCACAGATTGACATGCACCAAATACGTATCAGTACAATAGGCCTCGTTCCTTATGTTGACCACCTCCCGGTGGTGACCAGTTACAGTCCCTTGGATGGTCAATGTACAGAGATTTGACTGTATATAATAATATATACATAATTATAATTATATATAATATTTTATGATATTTTATTTTATAATATTACAAGTATATGTAATTGCGGTCATCACCAGTTTTAACTGGCTAAACAAGAATCTTTTGAGAATCAAAGAGAATGCTAGGAGAATCAACATAAATTTGAACTATTGATTCTGGGGAAACTAGGATGTCCAGTCACCTTACCTATATGCTTCCTTCAGCTCTGAAATTCTGTCCTCCTCTAGAAGCACTTATGGGTCCCTTCTTTATATTTATAGCCGACTTGGTGCCTGCCACATCTTAGACTCTAAGTGTTGGCCCTATTTCCTTTTGGTGAGCATTTCTGCATTCTTTGTGCAAAGCCACTCCTCTGTTCCTCCACAATCTCACTCTCTTATGGAGTTGAATCTTCCTTGTGCTAAACAGCTGTACCCCTCCTACTGTTGATTTGACATTTTTTAATATCCCCTGGCAGCTGCTACTGACGATTTTTCAAAGAAGGCCAATGTTTAGGTGTGACCCTCATTCTTTTTCAAGTCAAGGAATAACTGGCCAAAGAATATACCTGACTGGTCTGAAGTTCTGCAGTTACTTGAGGCTAGAACAGTCGTGAAAAACCTCATCTTCTCAGCTAGATTGCCAATGAGCCATATTAAATCAAATAAAACATAAAAGAGAGAAAACCTAAAAAAAATATATTCATTAATACTTTTCACAGACCCTACATACACTTTCTACACAGATCAAAACTGTGATTGCTGGGCGGTGCCTATGGCTCAAGGAGTAGGGCACTGGCCTGATATACCAGGGGTGGTAGGTTCAAGCCCAGCTGCTGTGAAAACTGCAAAAAAAAAGAAGAAGAAGAAACACTGTGATTGCTCAAAACCAGCAGGCCCAGAGCTGGCCTGCATATTGCTAAACACAGCATGGGACAATTTGCTAAACTTTTAAATGGCCAATGTTTTTTAAAGAAAGAGATCTTTGGTTGTATTCTGTTTTCTTTTGATACCAATGCTATCTTACTTCTTATAAGTGTCCATTTATTTACTTCTCAACTGTAACTGAGGGCAGGGGCAGGGGGAGCAGGGATAATGAGAGAGCGTCACTCCTTCTGTACCCACAGAGACCTCTGCCCCTTTTGGAATGTTCTCTTGCAACTAATTAAAGAACTACAAATATGAGTCATCCCCATGGGTTTGCTGGGGACATAACTAAGTATTCTGAGAACATGTCTTACTGAGGGAATGAACATCCACTCAGTCTATGGCAAGAGGGTGAAACAAACGCTATAGAACCTCCCAGGGAAGGATGTGTCCTCCGTGTGAGAAGAGCATGAGGTGTCTGTTCACTTGCTACTTTCTCTGAATAATTTGAGAAACAAGTGGTGGAGATTACATAAATTGTGAATAAAATTGTTAGGAAAAGCTCTGCTGAGAGCTTTTTACCAAGCCCTGAATAAGGAACAAACAATTCTGAACAAGGCAAAACCAACATTTTCACCATTACTAACTACATGAAGAAAGCGAAGTCTTTGAGAGTTTCTAAGAATTTTCTAGAACGTCTGGACGAGTACTAATTCCCAATATTTAAGCCTTTCCCATGCTTAAATTCATGAAATTCCAAGCTCAGATATATTAAATTCTGTTTTTAAGACAAGTTTTCCTGCACAAAGGAAGTCTAGTTTTGTCTTCACTGGCCGTGGGGGTTAAATCAGTTTTGAAGTTCAAGTCCTTCCTCAACCCCAGCCTTGGGCATCCCTCTTGTTGGTCACCTCACAGAGTAACAAGCACACACTACTCCAGCTTGTCCTCCCCAGGACAGCAAACACAGGGGGGCATATTTGGGTTGCTATCAGCGCTTCCCGGCAGTGTGAGGGGAAGAATGCTTGACTTCAAAGAAAGGCATTTCTTTGTTTTATAAACACAGACATGAACTCAAAGCTTCTTTTCTCAGGAGCTTTCTTTATTCCCTCAGTTAACTCTCAGGTTCACTTGGAATATTCTTTCGGTTCACATCAATCTGTCCTCCTTGGTTTTTGCTAGCGCTTAAAACATCATTTCTAGACATGAGGTGACCATTTAACATTTCATGTGGATGCCTTGTAACTTTCACATTTTTCTTATGTCTCTTGATGAGAGTCTTTGCTTGGCAAGTTGAGTCAGGCTTCTGAACCTTCTCCTAGGCCCTTCATCATAAAGCACAGTTTTAGCAAAGAATCCTGAAAAGTCAGTCCAGCATAAGCCACACTGCCCCTTGTCCTCGATATCTGATTAGATTCCTCATCCTCCACCACCCCAGGTGATGTCTGAACACCCAGGCCAGTCTTCAGTAAGAATCCTATTAGGTCAGTTTAGCCAGAGTCCTCTTTGCCCCTGATGTTTCTTCTTAGTAATTTTCCATCCACTGACCCCCACACCACTTCTTGGCTATGAATTTCCATTTGCCCGTCCTGTGTTTGATGTTAAGCCCAGTTTTTCTTTCCCACTGTCAGACCCTGCTTGGTCCTCAGTGGTCCCTAGACCTATTCTGATGGTCCTGAGTAAATAAAGACCTATTTATTTATATAAATAAATAAACGGCCTACTCTACTTTCACCAGTGTCCCTGAATAATTTTTCTCTAACATTCTCGTTAATGATCTAGGAGCCCTGTTAAAATCACTCTTCAAAAGTAGACATACTGGTCAGACATGATGGATTATGCCTGTAATCTCAGCACTCTGGGAGGCCAATGAGGGAGGATCCCTTGAGGTCAGAGTTCAAGACCAGCCCGGGCAACATAGTGAGACCCTGTCTCTACAAAAGAAATAAATAAAATGATCTGGGCATGGCGGTACAGGTCTGTAGTCCCAGTGACTTGGAAGCTGAAGCAGGAGGATCATTTGAGTCTAGGAGTCTGAGGTTGCAGTGAGCTATGATGGCACCACTGCACTCTGAGATGCTATCTCAAAAAAAAAAAAAGGGAAAAAAAAAGTAGAGCTATTTCTTTGGGATCACTCTGTCTAAGATCTTGCTATAATTTTAAGGTCGTTGATCCACTTTGACCATACCCCATGGGAACCCTGACAGATGTGGGGTGGGAGACATATGCAGGAACCCAAGAAGACCAAAAATCAGGGAATTTCTCCCTTCCCTCCACTGTTCCACTTTCTGACCCAACATAGTCTCTACTCAGGATAATTGTTGCAACAGAAGTTTCCAGTTTCCAAATAAGTAAATTGGTAGGTATCTCTAAATGGACCGAAAAATCACTAGGGTGAACTTGACAATTAAACCCTTTGCCCTCATCCCGTGTGAAGGCCGACTGATTGCACACCAGCTGCAGGAGACACCGCAGACACCATCAGGGCACCTGCTCGGTCTCTGCACAAACTCTGGATCAGAAAGAAGATTCATCCTCACATCTCCCTGAAAACTCACTAGCTCTTTTGACAAAAATCATCAAGCTTTCTGCTGTCTGGCTGAAAGTAGGTGATAAAGAAATGACCTTATAAAAAAAAAAGAAAAGAAAGAAATGACCTTAATTCCATTAACTAAGAAAACTTATGGCCTAGACGCAAAGTTGAGTCATATTCCCCAAGGCTGATGGGTCACAGTTTTGTTAATGAAATAAGTAAAATGATTTTTAAATTACTCTATTTAAAAAAAGACAAAAAACAAAAACAAAAACACGTCACCTAAAAGCATAACACATCTATCAGGATTTCCAAGGACAAAAATAACAACACCCATCTCTTGAGACCTTGAGAGCATCACAATGAAAAGAACATTTGTGTAAAGCCCATAACAGATGCTGAACAACAACAACAACAAATAGTAAGTAGCTGCTGGTTTTCAGGAGTCTGCTGACCACAGGCAATGGGTGGGGGAGAAAGACGCCAGAAATTCCGAAACCCGTTTCTTACATATACTTACTGCGTCTCAGCCCCGAGCAGCATTTCCACTTTCTCATTCGCGTGGTTACTAAGGACCGTCAGAGTGAAGAGGTAACTGGCAGAGTTCTGTCTTGAATAAAGCATCGTGGAACTGTTTTTCCCCGGAGAAGAATTAAGTTCTTCATTGTCACAAGATTCCACCAACAGCTGATCTCTTAAGGAATAATCGTTGACGTTGTAACTCTCTTCACTAGAAGGGAGAGGGAAAAGAGCATGCCAAAAATCGTGACATGGTCGTTTTCAAGTCACATTTTGGGGACAGGTGGCAAGGAGTAGACAGGAAAGGAGACAGGAAGAATGACTTATTTTTTAAAAAGCATTAGAATCTGAATTACATCTATTGATTATGAATCAATGCAACTCTCCCATTGAATCTAATTAGCATTTCTGTACATGTAACATACCAAGATGCATCTCAAGTATAGAAGCAACACTAAAAAAGTACCAAACTCTCGAGGTTTCATTGGAATCTGACATCATCCTGAAACTTTTATAACTGGTGATACCGGCATCCGTCCTGGGAAGGCTCCAACACATACACCTCCCCAGCCTACACCTCCATCTGCACAAGGACAAGGTAAGTAACACCTTGCTACCTCCCATGCTCTGGGTAGAGACCCCACACGCCAACTGCCCACCTCAAACGAGCACCACAGGAGAAGAGGAGAGCCCCAAAGTTCTGCTTGCTGCTGGCGACATCCCCAACCCACCCTTCTCTCCCACATTCAGCCTCATCACCTGCTTTAGAAACCCCCAGGACTAACCCTGCCTACGCCCAGGACCCTTCATTCCCCTGGACTCTCAACCCCAACCCACTGTGGACAAGCCTGGCCTGGCCCCACCTCCTTCCGCTCCTACACTGGCTCCTGAACCCCATCCAATGTGTCCTCTGTGAATGCACCTCAATTAGGGAATCCAGTAAAATCTCTTCAATCCTCAATCTCTTCTCTGAACCCTCCCTCCACTTTCTTAACTGAAACTTGGCTCTCCCAGGACTCCTTGCCCACTTGCTTGTCATTTCTGCTTCTAGACAATGACCATTTCCTCTTCTGGCTTTGAAGCTCGTGCCTCGGTCTCTATCTCCCAATCACAGTCATCTGCAGACGCCTGGATCACGCTCCATTCCACCCCACAAGTTTACCAGCAGGCTCTCTCTCTTCCCAACATGATTTCCTGCTTAAATTTCTCTCTGGAGGAGCCTTCCATAACCCTGGACTCACAGCTCCCTGACCTCTCTTCTCCAGTGATCTTGTCCTCTGCTCTACTTTCAGCCGCCCCTTGGCAGTCATGCCTTAGACCCTGTCGTCATCTACCACCTCTCCA